AATGACTGATCAAGGGAAAATCTCCTTTCATAAGGATCGTTCGCTAATTATTGAAAATGTTATTCACGGAATAAAACTGAAAAATATAATAATGATAGTGACAGTCGCACGTATTGCTTAAATATGGTTTACTATGAAATCGCTGAATTAAAACTATATATGAATCGGCAAAAATTTGAAATTGTTTAACAAAATCAGGATCTTCATTTCGAGAAGACAATTACGTGAAACTTGGATTTCATTCGTTAAGAAATAACAAATTTCTTTACTCACTACTGAAACCCTAAACACATCAAAGGCATACGGATAAAAAGATAACGTCAGTTGTAGAAAGAGATTCGGATTATGGCGAACGGAACTGAACGGAGATGAACGAGATTTGAGAACTTAGAATGGGTTATTGACGTTAGCCAAGAAGTGATACTTAATGAAGGTAAATCAACCTCAGCTGACAATGCGCCCATTCGATCAATTGTTTTTTGGACAGGCCAACACTTCCGTGGATTCAGACGTCTTAAAGTGGTCGCATCGAGTCGTTCGATTGGAGACTCTTTGAAATACTCTGATAAATCGTACGGTACCTCCATCTAAAAAATGAAGTAATTTATGTATCAGTGTATTTTGTTTCGATTCTCTGAATTACAAACGATCGACAAGAAAANATTTTTTACAAAATGAATACTGGAATAATATCAAATAAAATTCAGTGCTTTTAGAGTACATTTCATTTTAATGTGATCAAATTTGTGAATTTTGTTCTTGAGGTGATATTAAGATAAAGGTGGCCAGTTGAAAGGGCATATTATTAGTAGCATTCATTAAGATTTTCATGAAATTCAAATGAAAATGATAACGAAATCAGGCGTAAAACATCGAGCAGTATGAATTCAAAATGAACTTATTGTTAGAAACTCATTTTATTGGGGAAGGAAGAAGCATTTCACAATGGCAGTCAACCACTAGAATGTGTGCAAATGGAATGCGTTTATAATAAAATAACTATTCACATTTCTTAAAATTAAGTGGTGATATTCAATTGCTTCACTCAAAGGGTAATACTATAACTGACGATAAAAAGAAATAAGTGCAAGATGCAAAGAGACTGCATAATGTCAATTGCGCAATCAGATTAAACATTTATAGAGCGTGTGACATAACATTGACAGAAAATATGCACGATAAAGATGTATTGCAAGGATTCAACAGTAATGAAGAAGAAGTGAAACAGATTCGAGATGAGTCATTCAATCGAATCATTATCGAATACCACCTTCAAAATAAATCAATATATGCTGGGTACCATTCATCAACGAATATATTTTAAGGGTAGGTTGTGCAATGAAATTCACCGAGAAGATAATAGTGAGAGAATGAAGATGAATACTGACAAGGAAGCAAATACTCTGCAACGATGCACATTCCCAAAAGATATCTGATATACTCTTATTTGACATAAATATTTTAATTTAATTTATTGATCGTGTGCGCATGTAAGCGAGTATATTGGAAGATGTGAAAAAGTGCGATTCTGCAAATAACGCATAAGAGCGCATCGATATTCCTCTCGGATTAGAACAATGTCTGCATGGCTGTCAGAAACACGCTGGATGACTAGTTTGTTGCTGGATTATTGCCTACAACCAGCCATCTTATCATGTATGTATTAGAAATAAGTAGATAGTCACATTTAAAATGCATTCCAAATACGACTCTCACATGATCACGGTAAGTTTGAATAAATTAACGATACCCCTTGCGAAAGGCTCCTGCAGGTGAACTGCATCAAATACTTGTGTAGACTGTTTGGTTGGGGATAACTGCGATCGCAACGTAATGTTAAAGTACATATTCATGGTCGGAATGAATTTAATTGAACACTATACGCATGCGGCGATACACAACTGTCATCTTTTTGAAAAAAAAAATCTTTGGGATATGTAATTCGGAAGCAGTTTTTGATTGAATTTCGTATGGAAATTTCGACTCATCGCAAGCGATGCTCCTGTGCACGAAAAAAATCATGAATGCATTGGATTGAAATATTACGAAACATCCGAGAGACACAAATGATTGGAACTGTTCATTATTGCAGATTGAGAGAAACGATCAAGCAGTTGGGAGGATTTACACTTCAGTCACAACACACGTAGTAACGTTGAATTCTCTTAGCGAATCACCACTAATGATATTCATACAAAATCGTATTTTGGAAGATTCATCTATTCCATGCACACTTTTAAGTGTTACACTTCAAGACAACTCGATACTTTTCAGCAGCAGCATAATGAAGTAATTAATATCACACCAATAAAATAATATCTGAATCTTTCCTCTCCTCAATAACAACATTTGCAAAATGTTGCATCAAAATTTCAAAACATTCTCATTGTCAATTTGCGTTGAGTTTCACAATTCGTTCTCTTTATCCGTTGCTTTTCGTTTTCTATTGTGTGCGTTCTCTCTTTTTTTTCTGTTGTGTGCGTAGACACGCGTATTGATGTTTGGGTACCCGGACAATTTGTCAACAGACGTTTTGACTACGGGCAGTCTGTCAAAAGAGACATTGCCCAACGGACGGTTTGTCTAGTGGATATTTTGCCTATCGGAGTTTACCCAATGGGAATTTTGCCTAATATCATTTTGCCTAACGAATGTGCGAGATTGTTAGGCGCACCAGTTCAGAGCATGTTGGGAATGTTCCTTTCGTGGCTGTTATCAGAACACCTGTACATATCAACGTTGGCGATTTTGATGGCTTCAATCAAAGTCAAGTTTTGACCAATGAAGATCTCGCACGCTCATTAGGCAAATTCCGATAGGCAAAATGTCCACTTGATAAACCATCCGTTAGGCAAACTGTCCACTAGACAAACCGTCGTTATACAATGTCTTCAGATAAACTGTTCGTAGCCAAAGCGCCTGTTGACAAATTGTCTGGTCACGTAGTGTTTGTATATACGTGCACGTGTAAATGTTTTTTTGATACCTATACGTTACGGAGACAATCTTTTTTTGAAATTTCGGAATTTGCAAGTTCCCATTCCTCAAAAAGGTGCCTAAAACAAGCTGTGTGAGATTTCGCATTAAAAACTGCTTCGAAAGGTCACTGGGTTAACTTCAGTTCTGTAAGGCGTCTAAATACTCATCCTGAACGGCACCATCTTTCAATTTGACCTTGCTTTATTCAAAAAAGTTTCACAGAGGTTGTTTACAGTCAAAGAGCATCACTTTAGCGGACCAGACTAAGAAACTTCCAAAGTTCTATATCGCAACTTGGTTGATAAACAATAAATATTACTGAATGTGGGTCAAGTGTGGAAGACTCATTAGCAATTCACGATGAGTATATTAACAAAACTNTTCTATATCGCAACTTGGTTGATAAACAATAAATATTACTGAATGTGAGTCAAGTGTGGAAGACTGATTAGCAGTTCACGATGAGTATATTAACAAAACTATACACTGGAGTACCGAGATTTTTCAGAACATAAATCTCGAGATTAGAATGAGGATTCAAAAGTTGGGATCTTGGGATCTCGTGCAAACACTAGCTGTTATCTGATTAATGTAAATTTTAAGAGCTCCTAAAAATTCATTCATTTTCAAACAACTCAAATCGACATCAGACATAAAGCTGATGTTTAGGGTAAAACATTTAGGTAATACTTGTAGATGATAAAATGTTTGAAAAAGTGGTGCTAAAAACAAGCAAATAAGACGAACGATAACCATTCAAAGAACTCACCATATTTTAGTGCTTTTTTAGAATGCAATAATAATAATTTTCTTTTTATAATGAACGTTCAGTGACAAACGACATGCTAACAATAAATATGCAAAATACTAATTCAAAGTGTTTAGCAGGAATGCGATGGGTGGGCAGACGACACGAGTAAGGATCGATTGTTGCTTGAGATAGATTGGCAGTGGTACTCATAAGCACTACATGGAGCACAAGCGTTTGGTTAGCACTTTGTTGGGTGGATGCGAGGGGAGACTGGTGTACAGGAGACAATGGCCGGACGTCGTAGGCTCAATAGGCGTATATGCATATCGAGAAGGCGTCGATAAATATCGAAAGAACTTTATCGACACGTACGCATGGTTGAAGGAATTAGCGATGAAATGACTCAATTGCACGACTTAAGTTCGTTCGAATGCAGAGACGCTGGTGCGTACGTATTTATTTATTCGATAGTCAAGTTGTCAATTAAAACACTACCCATAAATGAATCACCATCCTAGCCGGCATCAACAAACACTTAAATGCTCTCTTCATGTCAGCAAAAGTTTCACGCTAACCACGTTACAATGAACACTTCTTAATACCAATTGCCACGAATCACAAACAAAACCCCTCAGATCCATATCCACTACAATAATTTTTATACATTTGAGGATCATTCCGTACTGTGCGAACACCAACGAATCCGTCCGCTAACTGTAATCGAATTGTCCGACAATTCTCACTGTTCATTCAATGAACTTTTAACTAATCATAAATTTTAACACGCATTCACATGAGGGAGTGAATTCCATAAAACGCTGCACGTATATCGTAACAGAATGGAGAAACTGTTACCAACAGAAAATACCATAACTAAACAGGAGTTGCAGTGAAGATGTAAACCACTGAAATTGAACTAAAAATACTTCATTTCACATCCTAATGCCAGGTTTAAAATATTCGCAACATTTGATATTATCATTAACAATAATCGAAATTTTAATCTCAACAACTGCCACTGCCTTGTTCGTTTATCAAAATCATGATATTTTGCTATTAATGAATGCAAACATCGTAAATGAAAGTCGACAGATAGAACAACTGAAAGTGCACAAGGATAAGTACAGAGCGAAACATTTATTCTGCAAATTAGCGCTACAAAATGAGGTAGAAATATGCGACGATTTACAGGTAGATGGATAATAATATGCGATCATCAAACTCATCACGACTCTAAACACTGCAGTCGGTAACAGCGACAATAATAACTGCCACAACAACAACTAAACTATCGCATTTCTAAATGTGAATTAACTAAAGAACGTATCGGACTATTGTTAACAAAGAAACACAAACAGGATTCAATAACTATGAACATAATATCGAATATTTATGAAACACAGATGTAAGGATCTAAGAGTACCGTACAAATATATCACTGATAGAAGTGATCATTTCAATTAAACTTCAACTAGTTCTCTAAACTGGATTAAACTTTACCTAGTTCCCTGAAAGAATGATACAACTTCGATCATTCTTATTTTCAGTGAAAGAAGAACCGATGATTAGTTACTGCAGAAGTGAATAAAATCGAACTATATGGATAAAAGAGGTGAAAGAAAATTCGAATGCACTTAGTGAGAAATTTTAAAACAATATCAAAAATAATCAGTTAAATTGATACTGAGTAGGAAAAGTAATCATAAGAAATAACAATGAAATATGACTGAAAATGAGTAAAATTAGTACAACGACCAACGAACTAGAAATTTCAACGTATAAACGCGAATTCAAATTTTTATTGGCTCGCAGATATTCTTATCGCACATCTAAACAGACTTGGCGATTAGTAAGTATTGACTGACATCAGATCTGGGAGATAATCATCTCAAAAGTTCTATCATCCGAAATACATTTTCTAATGCATGGATATACCATTAATTTAATTGAAATTCAGTCACCATAATCGACAATATTATAATCATACAGCTGAAGTCTCCTATAGAACCAATTATTGACCTCAAAAAGTGAGAAATTTTGGTTCGGATAAAGGTACTGAGATTCAGGTTGAGAAGAGCAATCCACTTGAACAACACTTCAAGTGACCCTTTCGCAATTATTAATCATCCATAAAACTTAATGTTTCACTTTCACAATACGTTCCAATCTATAGTGAAAAATACTAAGAAAGACTTATTCACTTCCATTGCAATGAACATTAAGCGAAAACAATTGTTTCAATAAATATTTTTAAATTCATGACTGAATCAACGATGGATTTAACTCGAACTACTGACACCTCTGAGCCAATAAAGCTGAACCAGATCGCGAACCAACAGCATTTTTCATCCGTTCAAACCATTCACCGATCCTACTTCGATCTTTCATTTCTTTGAATGCTTGGCATCCATAAAATGAATTCATCGCACCATACAGTTCCTTTGAATATGATTAGTTCTATTATGCAACGATGAAATTTTCGGTCACAACAAAACGATTGCACAATGACTCGCAATACTTCAGTGTTAAAACGTATCTTGTGAATTGTCTCTATTCAAACTACTTTTTGCATTATTGCTGATATATTTAAAGGTGAATGAAGTTCATGAATCATTCAAGGTTAATAGTTAGAACCGGAACAAACTGCAAAATGAGACCAATAAAAACCAACAAGATCGGCTAAGTTCGGCTGGTCACCACCCAAAAACGGTCGATCTCCCAATGCCGAAAGCCACAGATTGCAAGCATTCACCAATGCATCACGTTCATTATCGATATTGTGTCTATATATCAGTTATTATTCCTTTGTGCTTCACGAACGGAACGTTGCAATGAACACTGACGCAAAGTCATAGAAAATGCCTTTCGTCAATTAAACGAGATAAAATGGAAATAGCTAATATGAGATAGTTATTTGATGAGAAACTTGAAGGAAAATAACCTTTTCTTAAGTCGTTTAGATATTATGAACATAGCCGTAGCACCCAAGTAAACAGCAACTAAACGCTCCCAGAGAGTAAATGCTTCCTTCCATCGTCCAACTTCAGAAAACCATTGAAATGTTGCTAAACTTTCTTGGAACGTTCGATAAACATTTGGCGATATCAGATGAATGAAATGACTATCAATCCATTCACGCCATTCACGTTCTTCCCTTCAATTCAAATATTCATA